ATATGGTAACAGGTAGTTTGGCGACATTTTGGTAAGGCGATAAAAGTTACTAGCTAGGAATTTGGTAGTGTACATGGATAAAGTCAAGAGTGTGCGCAATGCCATTTTTGTGCAATTCTGGGATGTTTTTTTAAGTGAAAATAGGTCGACGTGTACATGGATGATACCGTGTATGTGCAATTCTTAAAAACGTGGCAAGCAGTTTGCGATTTTGCACTTTCTCCCAATTTCGCACCTAATCTTCGTCATGATTAAGCGTTTTTGTTCCATAAAAGTTCTAGTATAAGCGTAATTCGGCTAGCAGATTGTTGGAAAAAATGTTCAGTAAAAAAAACGAAAAAACATGCCTTTACTGCCTTACTTCGTGAAAACAAACTAGCAGGTTGCTGTAGCAGGTTGGTTGCCAATTTTCGCCAAAAAAATCGCCAAGTTACCATAATTTAAAGATTAACCACAAAAAATTTTATGAAACGAAATTAATAATCGTTTACGTTTATTAATTATGAATTAATAATATTATAATTAAATTAATAATTAACAGACGTACCCCGACACGATACAAAGACTATTTCATCTTCATTCCAGTTTTGATGGGGAACACTGGGGAATGAACTCGATGATACTGCAACTTTTTACCCATGCCGCCATTCTCGTTATGAGATTTTCTAACTGATCGTTTTGAAGTGTCTACATTCTGATAAACTTTTAGGAATTCTCCGCTTTACAAAATTATACTTTACGCAACTTTGTGGAAGACTAGTACTTGTGCCGTTCTCACTGGTTTACGAAAAAATACGAACAGGATTTGAGTTTTTACAGAAAGGGGAATAAAATGGAAAATATTTTCCAACATTTGTTGAGGAAATGATTGAAAAAATTGTAATATTGGTTGTGAAGAGCGCTTAGACTTATTTTTATACTATCATCATATCAAGCGTTTCACATCAGCCACAGTAGACGACAAATTTATCTTTCAGCAGTAGGCAGAAAAACTGCAGATGCGGTGGCGTAACTGATTAAAAACGTGATCCTTACTGTCTACAGTCTGTCATTAATTGAATCTTCATATGTTCAGGTTAACGCACCATCGTCAGTGGCATTTTTCAGTTTTAATGTGGCATCGTCAGTGCCACGTCTCGGGCATCCGTTATGATCGATCTGCTGGCTTTTCAGTTTTGAAATGTGAAATTGCATGCACTACGTATGTTCCTTTCGTTTATTTCATCTCTGAACATATCGTATCACCTTTTAGTTTTCATGATAGATTTTATACGTTATATGATATATATATAAGTTTTCGGGAAGAGCCTGTTCATGCTTAAAAGTTCTTTAAATGAATAGTTATTATTCCTTGCTTTGCTTCTTGTTTTTTTATCAAAAGAAAGTTTTCACAAATATGATCTACTCTCTAAAAGCGGCGTGAAAGCTTGTAATTTAAGGAAATGGTTTTTATAGAGAAAACGTATTGTAATTATAAATACAAATTGATAAAACTCATATTTATGCAGGTATTATAAATTGCAACCTATGCAAGCAGCACAGATATGGATGATAAAGTTGCATATGTGACACCAGAGGGGAGTCTTAATAAGCGAGTCCAGTCGAAACAAGTGTTCGGCCTGATAACAAATAAGGTCATAAAGGCATATCACATAAAAATATCAGGGCCTTTGGTCACCGAAAAGAAAATTGAGTAGGAAGGAAAAGAGGGACCAAATAAAAAAAAAAAAAAAAAAAAAAAAAAAAAGGAGAGAATCGTAAGGACTGAAGAACAATCAAGATATCGCAAATCATACTAGAATGGGGTACAGCGGGGATCCCCAACCTTTTTGTCCTTTAGAGCACGTTGAATTTATAGTTGGATAGAATTGATAATACATGCACATAAAAAAAGAAAGAAAGAAAGAAAGAGATCTCTCGCATTTCGCTTTGTGCTGGTATCTGTGTTGGACGCAATTTCAGTTTCATTAAAAATGAAAAACCTTTCATATAGAATTTTATTGAAAACTAAAGCATTTTACTGTCGTCGCACAGCGGCGGGCATGATCGACGGGCGCCATGGTGCCCGTGAGCATAGGGTTGGGAAGCCCTGTGCTAGAGCATGTGGAGGAAGCAAAGTCATAAGGCATTCACGGGCAGTAAATCGCAAAGTCTGAAGTATAGCTCGCTGACAAAAGCAAATAAAATAATATGTGCAAATCAATACTTGTATCAAAGTGAAATATTATATCAAAGTGCAAAGCAAACGTAGCACTAATGTACAAAACCTTGTAGGTTATAGTAGGTAATAAGGTGGGAAAATTATTGTTTCTTCTCAGGTGAACTGCAAATGATCTTATACACTTCTAGATTTTCTAGTTGATGAGGTTGAAAGAGTTTAAGTGCTTTATCTTAAAACGTGTAGTTTCTTTTATTAGGTAAGTCTTAATAGTGTCTAATTTAAGTATCTTCCTGAAGCGTTTGATTTTTGGTTTTGTAATGAGCGTTGGTAATAATGCGGAGGTAGCGATTTTAAACTCTTTGCAACCTTAGATCATTTTTTGTAGCAGTTGTTCATGCAGGCCAGACATAAACTAGAACTGGTCTTAGGATTGCCGCGTAAGAAGACGTTTTTCTCTGAGGTTCTTCCTTTAGGATTTTCGAATTAAGGGAAGTAAGCTATTAATAACTTTACCTGCTTTAACATCATTTATGTGTTCATCCCATTTTAATTTTGTGTTTAACGTGATACCCAGGTAATTGGTATCTTAACCTGAGGTACAGCTTCATTGAAAAGTTCAAGTCTTCGAATTAATTTTTTTCTTCTAATAATTGGTAGTTGTGACTTTTGTGCATTGATAGTTATTCTCCAGGAAGTCCTTAATAAGCTATCTACGAAATTAAGCCCTTGAGGGCATATAATGAGCTAGCTGGTGAACGATCGAGAAAGTGACATAAAGGTAATTGGCACACTAGCAGTACAACAATGTGCAAATGTTCAGATGAAAAGAGACGTAAGGCAAAAGTCTACCTGTGCAAGCAATGAATTTTTTGGAGAAGTTGCTTTAATTGCTACAAAATCTGCAAAACACCACGCCGCCATATTACTACCTAAATTTTTTGTCTACATTTCGAATTTTAAGCCTAAAATGTCTCCAAAAATGCGGTTTTCGCACATGCAAAAACCACGTTTTGAAGACACAATTTAAGCTAAAAATCCGAAACAAAAACAAAAAATTTAGATAGCAAAAACGTAAAGTTTCTAACCAAAAATATTGACAAGAATCCATGTACACACGATATGTTTTAACTTCAAAAACATCTACGATTGCACATTTAGGCAGCAAAGGAATCTACGAACTACGCACACCTCGCTTCAAGAAATTAACATAACAACAATAAATTTCAAAGAATACCATGTACACAGCATTCTGTTTAAACTTAAAAAAAATCTACGAATTGCACAATCTAGGCATTGCGCACAAATCAACCAAATGAACTAAACTAAATTACAAACAATTAAAAAAAAACAAAAATGCATAGTAAAAAACAATGAACATAACATTCTACAAAATAAAATGCATTTACCATAATAATACATTCCTGAATAAAATTTCGCCAGTCACACAGGTCTCTGGACAAAGTGCCACGATTTGCTATATCACATGTCTTTCTGGATTCAAAATTCGCAGTACGATCAAAACTTCCTCTAAAATTAACTTACTACACCAAAACCACAATCCAAATCTTAACTCCGCTGACAGCCAATACTTTCCAGCAACCATTTACTGCAAAGCAATCCCCAAAAACTATCAAAGACGCCCTTCTTCGTCCGAGTTCTAATAACAGCTCCTCATTTCAGACTCCGTTTTCAAAGTCTCAATCCTCATAAGCACACCCGTGAACAAAAGACTCGTTAACAACTCCAACTTCGTACCTTTTAATCCTAAATTACTTTCCAGACAATCTAAAATACGCGACTGAAATCTTGCCACCACGTCTATCATTGCAACATAGGCCGTTTCAAAACACGCATGACACGAACCAATCAGCAATTAAACCATTCCAGCAAAAGATTTTTCAACGTCAACAGGGTTGCCATACAACACGCAATCGCGCCAAAAACCAGCGCGGAACACATATAGACTCATTTGGTGAAATTAGGCCGCATATAAGAGTAGAGCCTTTTTTTAATTCACAAATAAGGAATGCCAGTAAAATTTTAACCCCCTTTCCCCCCAGATTGCGGTCATTGGCAAGAGCCTTGAGCATCGTATAGGTTACAATACGACTTTGCTCAATTTTGAAGGAGAACACAGCGGGAAAGACGGGCACGAGGGTCTCCCACCTCTCTACCTCTACCATCGGCCTCTCGAGAGGACTTTCGCCTCACTGCATATTTAGAGTGCCCCCATGCCACATAGAAACTATATATTTACAAACATATATGCCTTCTCTTGGATTCGAACCCGGGCCCTTCGTTACGGCAGTCAGCGTTCCTAACCCCTATCCAGGTTGGGCGGCATGTAAACTGATACTTTAACTATTATAAATCCTGAAAATTTGCGTGTTATATTTATCGCATAATATTTTATATCCGTTTATTCTCAATTACAATTGATTATATATAATTTTATAATGCTGCTTATAAATGAATTAAGTAAAATATGAAAATATATTCAAATTATAGTTTTAAATATTACCCTTTCCTCGTGATACAAAACTATAAAAATGTGTTTTCGAATTGAAACCGAATGCATTTAATTTCAAATTATACGTTTCCTTAAAATTATTTTTTGATAACATTCAAGCTCCTTTTATTCTTATAACATTTTCGTAATAAAGAAATGTAGTTGCGTGGCGAGGCCGATTTACATACGTAAAAATCCCTACAGAGGGCGAGATTGAAGATTTCTTCCTACTGGCCAGCGCACATTTTTCTTTGATTGGTTGTTTTTACAGTCCAATCAAGGTTATATAATGATGCGATCAGGTATTTTTTTTTTCTCATTTTATTCTGCTGTTATTTTCTCCTAACTTGAAGAATCTTAATTTTTATAGTGTGCTAGCCTTTCAATTAAGTTTTAAAATGTCTGGTCGTGGTAAAGGAGATAAAGGGAAAGGGAAAAGTAAGACTCGTTCGAGTCGTGCAGGTCTGCAGTTTCCTGTTGGACGTATTCACAGACTTTTACGCAAAGGTAATTATGCGGAGCGCATTGGTGCTGGTGCTCCTGTCTATTTAGCTGCTGTTCTTGAATATCTGGCTGCCGAAGTTCTCGAGTTAGCTGGAAACGCTGCTAGAGACAATAAGAAAACTCGTATAATACCTCGCCATCTTCAGCTGGCTATCCGCAATGATGAAGAATTGAACAAGCTTCTTTCGCATGTGACTATTGCCCAAGGTGGTGTATTGCCGAATATACCGGCTGTTCTCTTGCCAAAGAAAACTGAGAAAAAGACTTAAAAAGGTTGGGAGATAATTCATTTGCAACAATCAAATTGTACCATTATCCAAACTCCAAACTGTTTTTAATGCTTTCAAACATGTCTGCCATTGACGTTGTTTCTTTACGCTTATCTGCCATTGACATTTAATGCGGTTCTTGTGTTTGGTTTTAGTGACTTGGTTGGTACATGTGCAAAATAAGTTTGAACTAATTTTTAATTTGTGTTGGAAGCAAGTAATATTACTTTTGTTTAACTGAAAATTTCCTCAGTAGCTTTACATGGGGAAATGTCAAAATTTTTATCTATTTTCTGAGTCACTCTTGTTCATGTTTAAATGGAAAATTATCATTGCTTCTTTTGTAATGTGAAGTTGCTGAAATTTGAGTTGTACTCGTGGCAAATATTTGGAAGCAAATTTGGTTATTTAAATTTTAAGGAAGTATTTGAATTTTAAAAACTCATTTCAAACATGTATTTTTATTTCTGAAAAATTGAGATTTATTAATTTTGGCAAAACTAAGACACTTTGCTGGCGACTGTTTTATAATGCTACGATGAACTTTAAATTCTTTATCTCGTATATCTTTTATTATGAAAGCAAATAAAGTCATAAGTAATTAATTAAGCTTTTTATTTCTTAGTAATCTATTGGTGCGTTATATATAATTGACACATCAGAAGTTCAGATCTTTCTTCCTAAGTTTAAATTTTTGCATAGAATATGAAATGTGAATAAGCTTCTAGCGAGAATTGAATGGGAAAGATTCACATCAGAGAAATAACTTGAAAATCTTTTGGGTCCTTTAATTGTAGAAGTCGGTGTCTCAATGTATAACAAATACTCATTTCACTTTTTCGCATGGAATAACCAGATGAAATTAAACTAACGGTATTGATTTTAATGAATGTGCTGTTACTAATATTTAGTAGTGAGCTGAATGCAAGAAATAAGTATTTAGAAAAAGTAAGAACCACCTTGGCACAATTTAGCGGTTTTTTTACAGAAGAAAAAAGATAATTTGGTGAATTTTCGGATTGCATGTTACGACGGATATAGTCAACTAAAGAACTATTGTGCACATGTTTGCCAGAATTTGGAAATTTCTACTAAGGTAGTGTGGTAATACGTGTAAGTACTAGAAATATGTTGGAATATATAAAGGAAATTTGATTGTTCAGCAATTTTTCGTGGTATCCAGTAATTATGATTTAAACCTTTTGTCTGTTGAATTATTTTTCACACAGTAGTACTGACCATTGAATTCGATCGCTTATTAAAAAATTAGCCACTTTAAAAATTTTCATAGTTTCCTGAAAGATGTAAAAAAATTTCGGTACTCTTTTATTATTGGGACCGGATTCAGAAATGTATGCATGTACACATGTCTATGGATATGTGTTCCTGTATGAATGTATATAATGTATGTACGTATGTATGTGTAAGTGTGTGTCTGCGTATGTATGCGAGTCTATACATACACACGTATATTAGCACATACTTTTCATTTTTACATTTCTGAATCCGCTTTCGATAACAGAAGAGTACCAAAATTTTCAATGTCTTTCCTACTAGAATAACAAATGAAATTTATAATTTAAATAAATAAATCCGTGTTTGATTATAAATTTCCTGTTGTCATATTTTAAGCTTGATTAACATCTAAATATTTGTGTAGTCGTAAAGAAACTTTTAAAAAATAGATTAATAGAAATGATGCATCTTAAGTTTAAGACCAAGTTCTGTAAAGATAATTTGTTAGATGTTCAAAATGCCAAGTACGGGAGTGGAGTATTGAATTGCAACATTACAGAAGTATAAAATAGGCAGAAAATATTTTTAAAATATCAGTTAGTACATGATGTGCTACCAGTTTTAAATACTGAATTAATTTTTAACTTGTTATGCTGTACTTTTGTGTTAAAATTTGTTTGAATTATATATTCTTCTGCACAGCAAGAACTTATAATAATAAACATTTATACCATAGTTTAAATCCAGACGGTTTATTGACAGGTCAGCAACGCGGCAGCTTTTTTTTTTTTTTTTTTTTTTTTTTTTTTTTTTTTTTTTTTTTTTTTTTTGGATAGTTTTAACGGCAGGACCGAAATCAACTTCCATTGAGGTTCTTAATTTTTCTCATCGGTTTTCATAGAAAACGCTAATGTCTTGCATTTCAGAATCTGATCATTTTTCTTATTCATCCTATGCAAAAACTTAATCATGATCTTAAATCTAAATGCATTATCTCTTTTGTTTATGGGCTATCGGAACTGCTTATATTTGTATTAGCACGTCAAAAACGTATTTTCACATCGCTTACAAGAAAAACAAGGGTTCGAAACACCGATTATATGCTGTAACCAATAGCTAGATGATCATGTAAATAAGCTTAAAATGTTGCATTGTGAGCCTTGTGCAATCATGGTTGAATTCGCATGAATTGTCGCTCGTGTATATCACGCAAATGTCCTCTTGTGACAAACTTCTTTAACGTCAGAGGTCATCGATTGAGCGTTCATCACGCGATAAACTTCCTCACGATCCAGCTCCATAGGAAATTAAAAGATGCACAACTCCATTCTCCGAATGAGAGATTGGCTGTTACCTTTATCAGTTATTTATGGCGTGGAAGCAGCTTTGGAATATTTTATCGCGTAGAATGTACGTTCTGTTAAATATATACTGGGTTAAAAAAGTACTGACAATTGCCAATATTTAAACATATTATTTAGCCGAAGAAATTATCGATAGGTTAAGGAAAGTGTTATGAAATAACGAAGGAATTCAAACTGAAATATAAAAACTGTCATTTCAATTTTCCTTCGAGAAATCAAATAGAACCAAAACATAGCGTGCCAAAAATGTTTCGACAAAATCATGCATCAGCATGCAGAACAAAAACAAGTTATGTTTAATACTTTGTATGTCTTTTGCATTTGACTTCTTGTAGTCTATTCTTCATTGATGAATTTAAAGTCTTGGTCGTATCATAACTGAATATAAGTTATGATACGACCAAGACTATATGTTATGATACGAATATCATAGAATCTTTTCCCATTCTTCCAGGAGTGTATGATTGAGCTCCTCTTTAGACGAAATTTTGTGTTTCCGAGTCCTAATTGGTGCCATAAATTTTCAACTGGGTTAAGACCCTGCGGGTGAGATATTTTAAACTTGCGAGGTATATTGCAGCCTAGCCATTTTCGAGTATTGCACACTGTTTGCTTGGGATCATTGTACTGCGGAAACGCAAACGATGTCCTCAAACTAAGGCTTTAAATACTTGCATTTATATTACAGCGCAGTTATGCCAAGGTCCTTCATTTCATCTACGATGTGCAAGTTAGCAACCCCATTAGCTTTATTTCGTGCTTCAAGGACAGTGTGTGCATTCTCCATACACATCACCTTGCATCACTAAAAAGTGTTGAATTTCGATTCATTCGAGAATGACTTATCTTCTATTCCAAAATCCTGCTGATTGAATCACGTTAACTTTTGCGTAGTTTCTGCTGTTTCTTTCTGAAATGACTGGCGTCTTTCTCGCTGCCCTTCCATATGAAATATATACTCATTTTCATATGAAACATTACGTACTGCTTTTGCATTAGATGTTTTTGCAAATATTTGGCACTTGTCAGGCTAACTGGAGTGCACCTGTTTGAGAGCTTTTCTTGACTTTTCTGATAATGTCACGTTTTTCCTTTGTGGAAAATATTCGAGGCCGTACAATTCTAAACTTTGGTGCTGTTGAAGTTGTTCCTTGAAACTTTCTCAACACTTCCAGTTGTAAACAAACTATTGCTCAGTTACTTTCAGATAGCGCGATATATTAAGTCCTCATTTTTAAGGTGAATAATATTTTTAATTCTAGCGTCCAACTCCTTCTATTTCGAAAACATTTTGTAAAGGTATATAAAAATTTTGGATTAACTACTGACTTAATATAAACAGCCTGTCCTAACATTCCAAACCTCTGGTGCTAAAAACGAGTATCGTAAACCTTGTGGTATAACAGAAGGCTTTTATTAATAATTCCAAAAAAAAATCATGTGCAATGTAATCATTTACTCTTAACAGGTAAAAAAGTAATGTAATAGACAACCATTAACTGAAATTATTTTATAACATTTATTAAAAAGCTTGGAAGGCTTATATAGAAACCTTATTATAAGCACCTTATTATAAATTTCTGTTAATTTGAAGTATAATGTACAGCTTTTAAAGTTTTAAAACTTCTCACTGTAATCTGTATAAAAAGAACTACAACATGCTACACAAGATGTATATCATTATATCTTCTGTTAACGTCGATGGAAATACTGTTCTCGTACAACCTGGCTGTTACGTTTAAAATTAAAGCACAGCTGAGCCTGGAATTCATTTTACTACTACTTCCAAATTACGTATGAACTTCCATAGTGTGGTTTTGCTCTATAACTTCCAATTTTGATCATTTGAGTAATAGCAGTTTCAAGAGTAATCCAACATTCCAATTTAAATTTATTTCGATTACTGTTCTCTTCTGTGAATTGCATTGTGTCAGTATTTTATCCACAGTCGTGATCTTAGGTCATAATTATTAAACGAATATAGTCGCATATGAGTTTGTATATATATAAGGTTACGTCTGTATTCTTTTATTGATTTGTAGTATATTATGTGATGTGTCGGTGTAAGAATCTGATTTGAAGCCTATGTTTTTTTTATTCGCAAGACTTAATACGGCCATATTTCTGTAAGTTTTTAAGAACTTGTGTTTTGAATAATTTATTTTGGGAAAGGGGATTTTAATATTTTGCTGCCTTTATGCATGAGTATATTCTTAAAAAGATTGGACTAGTTCATTATCCATTTCACGCTTAATTCTGATTGAAACAAAAGTCTTGTTTAATTGATCACCTTTCAGAAAATATGAAAGTACAAGTGCAGACCGTAGAAAAACGGATAGACAATTAAAATAGTGTACAATGACACAATTATTCGTGTTGTTTACTGTAGTGGTAGAGTAACCTGCAAGCTTCCTTCCGTATCTAATCACGAATAAGTTACCTATAATAAGCTAAAACGCGTAAGTTGCTGATGCTTTCTTTTAACTATTGCGAAATTGCCTTTAAAAATAGTCTACCCACTCTTGTCAAGGTCTGTTTAAATGTCATTTCTTGAGGATAAAAAGCAAAAGCCTTGTTCTCAGAAAGAGCCTTGAAAGCATACTGGAAAATCCATGCAAACAGCTTTCGTGACCTTTTAATATCGGGGTTTGTAAGGGACCTGTTTTCTTCCCTATGAAGATTCCAGTTCTTTCCCGGCAAGTTATTGAAGCGCATTTTATGCGATTTCGCGGCGTAACTGCTGCTTACTTGCTTTAACCACTGGCTAGAACTTAATATTGGCAATTGTCAGTACTTTTCGCTTTAAAATTAAACTATAAAGAAATTGTTAAAATTGAAGAAATATTTCATATGTCGGTATGCAACTTCAACATATAATAAATATATCATGTTGTGATTACGGGAATATTTTATTATTTATGTTGGAAACTTCTTTGGTGGGATCATTTTTGCACAACTATTGTATTGAATACAGTATTTCTTCCCTAGCTTTTTAGTGCCGAATTCTGAAAATTTTAAAGTATTCGCGTAATTTTCCTTTTCCTTGGTGCGTTTAGAGAAAGAACTTCCCTAAATTTCAAAATGGATTCATCACGTAGCCATTGTTTTTGTTTTAACACTTTCCGGCACGCTACCTTTTAAAGTTAGAATTTCGATTTAAAAAAAAAAAAAAAGTAGGCAGTTAAATATTAGGCCTAGAGGAATACACAAGTAAAATTTTGCGCACACTGAAATAGAGCTTCGAAAAGAGTGCTGAAACGAGCATTGCTAGGAAGCGCGTATAAGAGTAAGATTTTGCCTACGATTAAAAAAACATTAGATTCTGAATACCGTAGCATATTTAACATTACCCAAGGTGTGCCACGGGGAGACTTGCTACTCTACACCCCCTAAAAATCTTTTTTTTTGGGGGGGTTATATGATGATTACATGCGTATGAATGGGGGGAGGTAACTTGGGTATATGATATTTACATTATTTACACTGTAGTCTATTTTTTACACTGTAGTACTTTTCGAAGAAAGTGACACCACCTATGAAAGAGCACAACCCAATATTGCATGTTT